TGGTTATCAATATCCTTAAAAATATCTCCTTTAGGGTTCCACAGAACACAGAAAATCTGCAGGAACAATAAGAGGGTCACAGAATCAGATTTAGTTTCAATGCAGTGTAATTTGCTATGAATAAAAGCATATGATTCATAAATGTAAATACATCATTTAATTATTTGTGAGAATTTGTAGATTTTAATAGCTTTTACCCCCCAAACTATGAACAACTTGTAATAAAACCTAAAAGACAAAGACTTCATAGGTTTTGACTTATAGGTGCATTCCCAAAGCATCTTTCATTCTATCAAAATAAATGATTACTTATAGATTTATGATACAGATAGGAACCATTCTAAACTGTTACGTCAATGCATTATGTAAAGAGCATGGATTAGTTCAAACTACAGTCTTACATTACCAGATTTAAATACGCTATAGTCAAATGTACTTCAACCAATCCATCATAACAGTGCAACTTCAATTACCTCATCAGGTGAAATGATGTTGGTGAGTCGCAGTCTGTGTAAACACATCCCTACTTCTTTTAAACGTGAGTGCTCACTAGCATGTCTTCTGGATGCTTGTTATTAGTATATTCCTGCAAAGGCATATACAAATTATTATGCAGAGAATAAAAGCAGTATAGTATTGCACTGTCACATTTTAATCTTATCTTTTAAACTGTACAATCACAAGCAATAAGTTGCTGGCTGCAGTTCACTTAATGGCCACCGGTACTGTCGACAATCGTTTTTGAATTCTACATATTACCGCTTGAGCTATAATCAATTTGTTTTTAAATAAAAATCTCTGTTTGAAGTTTCCCATGTTTTATCCTAGGGACAGAAGATGTCATCATTGATGAAATGCCTGTTACCAGGACGACATTTGAACCCACAGCGAGGATGTCAACTTATCTTGTCGCATTTGTTGTCAGTGATTTTTCATACATCAACAATGAAGATAAAGCGGGTGTTTTGGTAATACTTCCATGCCAATAATAATGATAATAAAAATAAAAAATTATTATGTTAAAGTGATAGCTCACCCAAAATGTAAAAACTTTACTTACGTTTCACTTGTTCCAAGTCTTTATTTAGTTAAATTCATTCATTCATTTTCTTGTCAGCTTAATCCCTGGGTCTGGGGTCGCCACAGCGGAATGAACCGCCAACTTATCCAGCAAGTTTTTTACACAGCGGATGCCCTTCCAGCCGCAACCCATCTCTGGGGGACATCCACACACACATTCACACACACAACGGACAATTTAGCCTATCCAATTCACCTGTACCATGAATGTACACTGTGGGGGAAACCGGAGCACCCGGCGGAAACCCACGCGAAGGCAGGGAGAACATGCAAACTCCAAACAGAAACGCCAACTGAGCCGAGGTTCGAACCAGCGACCCACCAACCTTCTTGCTGCGAGGCGACAGCACTACCTACTGCACCACTGCCTCACCCTTTAGTTATATTCAAAATAATATATTTGAAAATATTTGAGTATTTTAATATATGAAACTCGATAGCTACCATGAATAGCTATACCGTCTCTAAAAATGCTGGGCTTTTGAACACAATGTTGGGTCAAATATGGACAAACCCAACCATTGGGTAACACTGCAAAAAAATGTTTCTATTTTAGATTTTTTTGTCTTGTTTCCAGTCCAAATGTCTACAAAATTCTTAAATAAGGAAGCATTTTCTAAGAGTTTTTCCTTAAAATCAAGCAAAATAATCTGCCAATGGGGTGAGCAAAATAATCCTATGCCAGAAGGAAAAACGAGATTATTTTGCTTAACCCACTGGCAGATTATTTTGCTTGTTTTAAGGAAAAACTCACTTCATTTTGACATAATATTTCTCAAAACAAGACTTTATGTTTTGCTTGTCTAGAAAATGTTTGTTTTTTTATTTAAGAATTTTTAGATATTTGGACTAGAAACAGGACAAAAATTATCTAAAACAAGCATTTTTTGCAGTGTAATATAAATTTATTGAAAAAAAAAAAAAGCAGCGTTGGGTATGTTCATATCTGTCCCAACGTGGTTATGACAGTGTTTCTCAATCCCAGCAAAATATGCAGCGGTTGAGCACGACGAAACTTTGGGTTACGACAAAACTTATAGTTTGGAACAACTTGAGGTTGAGTAACCAGTGAGTAAACATTTCTGGGTGAACTATACCTTTACAAGAAATATTTTGTAGACATTAAGGCATTTCAAAACATTTATTTTCCATGTTGGTCTGACTTGTCAAAGGTAAGAATATGGGCTCGGAAAAAAGCCATTGATGACGGACAAGGAGACTACGCTCTCAGCATTACCCAACCAATACTGGAGTTCTTCGAGAGTTATTACAACACCAGCTATCCACTTTCTAAGTCAGGTACAACAAACTTTATTCTTGAAAAAAACTTTAAATAATTTTACCTACATTGTAAAAAAAATGGCTGTGATTTTAATGGTGAAAAACTGTAGAAAGGCTTCAATAAAATACGAAACCTGCTTAACAATAAGTTTCTCTAATATATACAGTGAATAACGGTAAATGGACATTCCCAGAATTACCTGTATGACACTTCATTCATTCATTTTCCTTCAGCTTAGTCCTTTATTTAACAGGGGTCGCCACAGTGGAATGAACCGCCAACAATTCCAGCATATCCCATTATAAACCATTCCTGGGAAACACCCATACATTCTCGCACTAACATACTAGGGTTAATTTAGTTAATTCAATTCACTTATAGTGCATGTCTTTGGACTGTGGGGAAAACTGGAGCAGCCAGAGGAAACCCACATGAACACAGGGTGAACATGCAAACTCCACACAGAAATGCCAACTGGGCCAGATTATGAGTCTTATGTTACATCTAATTTTGATAAATAATGTTTATTGCATCATTTTAATTTTATGTTCATCATGGTGTTTCTATATCTATATTCTGAGCGCACTTCTATTTATTAGTGTTTCTCTGCTGGAGGATAAGCTGTTTGTCATTAGCATTGGTTCCTTATATGACTTTTCCATCCCCACATTATAGTTGTGTTTTTGTTGCAAGTGTGATAAGGTGCGATACGGTGTACTTTAAAACACTGGTATATAACACTATAAATAATTGATACATTTTTTAATTTATTTAACGCTTTCTACCCTGGTTGTGGAAAATTCTGTAAATCCTATAAATTAATAAAATATGGCAGTTTCCCGTTTTATATTTCATTCACAGTTTCTACCCTATTCATGGAAAATCCAGAAAATTCCATAAATTATTGGTAGTTAAAGTAGTAGTAAATTATGTAAATTATGGTAGTTTAGAGCAAAATTTTTACATTTCTTTTACATTTTCTACCCTATTTATGGAAAATTCTTTAAATTCAATAAATTAATGAAATACAGTAGTTTACAGTATTTTTTATTTCTTTAACAGTTTCTACCCTATTTATGGGAAATTCTGTAAATTCTATAAATTTATGGTAGTTAATTTGGTAGTAAATTATGTAAAGGACTAAATTATGGTAGTAAATTATGGTGGTTTACTGTAAAATTTGGAAATTTCTTTTACTGTTTCTACCGTGTTTTTGGAAAATTCTGTAAATTCTATAAATTAATGAAATATGGTAGTTTACAGTAGTTTTATTTTATTTTTTTTCATTTTCTACCATATTTATGGAAAATTTGGTAAATTCTATGATTAAATGAAACATTGTAGTTTACCGTGTTTTTTTTTTTTACATTTGCTTAACAGTTTCTACCCTATTCATGAGAAATTCTGTAAATTCTATGAATTAATGGTAGTTAATTTGGTGGTAACTTATGTAAAGGTGTAAATTATAGTACTATATTATGGTGGTTTACCATAAAATTTTGAAATTTATTTTATTGTTTCAACTGTATTTATGGAAAATTCTGTAAATTCTATAAGTTAATAAAATATGGTAGTTAACCGTAATTATATTATATTTTTCTTTATTGGTTTCAACCCTATTTATAGAAAATCCTGTAGCTTCTTTAAATTTATGAAATTTGGTAGTTTACCATATTTTGTACATTTTTTGGGTTTCTACCCTATTTATGAAAAATGCTGTAAATTCTATAAATGAATAGTAGTTAATTTGGTAGTAAATTATGTAAATAAATATAGTTTACCATAAAATTTAGAAATTTCTTTTACGGTTTCTACCATATTTATGGAAAATTCTGTCAATTGTATAAAAATATTTAAAATTTAGGAATGTCTTTTATGGTTTCTACCTTAATTTTTATGAGAAATTCTGGTAACCACAGCAGCCAGTTTTTCTTTATTAGGGATAAATTCTAAGTAAATTTTGTACAGTGCACAAACAGCAGTACGCAAAGTCATCCTCTTCTTTTCTCAGATCAGGTTGCGCTGCCTGACTTCAACTCGGGAGCCATGGAAAACTGGGGTCTGGTCACTTACAGAGAAACGGCTCTCCTCTACGATCCGCAGACGTCTGCCAATGGCAACAAGCAGAGGATTGCGACTGTGGTTTCTCACGAGCTGGCTCACATGGTACGTCCAGGCCCAGGGAAGGGGATTGGGAGTACTTCTGGCTTCACACAGTTTGCCATGTGATTTATGTCTTCCAGTGGTTTGGAAACCTCGTGACGCTGAAATGGTGGAATGATCTCTGGCTGAATGAGGGTTTCGCTTCCTACGTGGAGTATCTGGGCGCTGATCATGCTGAACCGACCTGGAATATTGTAAGAAAAATCGTTCAGAGCATTTTGATGGAATAGCCTCTCGCTTATTAACACGTTCAAGCTGTCCACTAGATAATCATTCTCTGAAGGTATTATATAATCATTGAGTGCAGAAACATACATAGTGCTGAAAAATTGGCATTGAAGGATGAGCTGTGTGCATACATTATTATAATATCAGTTAACTGACAATATATCCGTTTTGGGCCTGATTCTTGAGGAGTATAAACACTCTGGTGCTTTTAAAGTATTTATCCGATTAAATTACGAAAAAGAAAAAAAGAACGCATGGTTTAAAAAGTTTTTGCTGGTTGTTTGCAAAAATTTTGGCAACATGTAAATAAGTAACTATGAATATTTAGTTCGCTTGGTTTTAATTATTTAATGGGCAACAAATTTTCTGAACCCAAAATGAAAAAATGTTTTTTTATTAATTTACTTAAGGTTACAGAACAGTGTCTTGGACAATAGAAGGATTGAAAAATTAAAATAATAAATTGAAAGATATTTATTTATTTATTTTAATTAATTTCATTAAATTTTTTAGGCTTCTCCTTAAAAAAATCTACATAAACGAACACTTGCTTATATTTTTATGCTTATTCTTAAATACATAAATATTTAACTCTTCATAAACGTTTCAAGCTTAGCCTCGGTAAACCTGGAAACACTGATTATTTTTGCATAATTGTTTGTAACCACTAGAGGTGCAAAAATGACTTTTAAGCAAGCATGAGGCAGCATTCAATGTTGCAGTATAGGTAGATATTTAGATGACTATCCATATGAAAAGCTATTAGCCATAGTCAGGCCATGCTATGATAACAAATGACATTTCCTGAGACTATAAAAAAAAAAAAGTGAAAGCAATATAATCCACACCGTTGTATTTTTCAATGCTGTTGTCTCTCACCAGAAAGATCAGATAATTCTTTACGACATGCAAAGAGCGTTTGCGGTGGACAGCTTGACCTCCTCTCACCCCCTGTCCCGAAAGGAGGAAGAGGTCAACACCCCAGCAGAAATCAGTGAAATGTTCAGCACCATTTCCTACAGCAAGGTAAAAAAAAATCAAGACCTAAAGCAACTAACTGGACTGAAATGCAGTCAGAGGAGTGAGGTTCACCTGCATACCACTTCGCTAGATGTCCTCCATTACACTCGCTCCCATCCCCAGGGGCACCGCACATTTAGGGGGCCCCCAAAGAAATTATCTAGGACCCGCAAATCATCATCCACCCCTCGCCCCCCCACCCCCTGCTCTTCATTTTCATCCACGATTCCACCCCCCCGCTCTTCACTTTTATCCGCAATATACCCCCCCCCCCATTCACTATCATCCAACAACCCCTCCCCCCCGCCATCTTCATTTTGATCCGCGATACCCCTGCGATTCTTTGTATGGGAGTCGGTTGCTCTAATAAAGAGGCTAAAGACCATAGGGCCACTAGTTTCTTGCTAAAACACCTATAGAGGTCAGAGAAGAAAGGTTTACCTGCATAGCACTTTTCTAGATGGCCCTCCGTTACACTCACCCCCCTAAACCTCACACCCTTCCCCTACGAGCCCCCATGTGTAAGCCACTGGTCCTACTGCACCCAACCTGGTCTGAGCTGGGATTGAACCAGCGATTAGGCATGTGAGTTGGCTGCTCTAACAAGGAGTCTAAAGACAGTGGCCTTTAGCATCTGTCGCTAGAGCACCCTTAGAGGTCAGAGGAGTGAGGTTTTAGTGCACAGCACTTCACTTGCTGGCCTTCGTTACATGTTTTATGCTAATGATCAACCTAAAAGGACGTCATTTAGAATATTCTGAATTCACTGATTTCACATTACAGCGAGCTTAACAACAACATAAAAATGTATGTTTAAAAAAAGAATAACTTTAGAGCTGTTTTGAACATTTTTTTTCTATCTTTATGTTGGATCCATGTTAAGCACTGCCATTGTGGAATTTCGAAAGACCACCAAAAGCCCGATGCCTTGAGAGGATCGTAAATTAAGTCATAAAGCCGTCAGGCCAGCAACAGTCCAGTCAGAGATAAATGCATTACATATGTTTATCATTACAGGGAGCTGCGGTGCTGAAAATGCTCTCCGAATTCCTGACGGAGCCTGTGTTCGCTAAGGGACTCAGTGTAAGTCTTGCTGTCGTTTCTAATGTTAAAGAGTTCATGCAACTTTCGCTCTGTATTTCATGAGCAGTTAACGTCAGAATTATTAGCCCCCTTGTATTTTATTCCCCCCAATTTCTGCTTAATGGACATTTTTCAACACATTTCTAAACATAATGGTTTTAGTGACTCATTTCTAATCACTGATTTCTTTTCTCTTTGCCATGATGACAGTACATAATATTTGACTAGATATTTTTCAAGAAATTAGTATTCAGCTTAAAGTGCAGTTTTAAGGCTTAGGGTTAATTAGTTAAGTCCTTGTATATTGAGGGTTTGTTCTGTAGACAATTGAAAAAAGAATATTGCTTAAGAGCAATAATAATTTTGACCCTAAAATGTTTTTTTTTTTTAAATGAAAAACTGCTTTTATTCTAGCTAAAATAAAACAAATAAGACTTTCTACAGAAGAAAAAAAAATATTGTAGGAAATATTTTGAAAAATTCCTTGCTCTGTTAAAGGTTCAGGAAACCCTTGAGTACTTTTTTTTTGTTGAGATTTTAACAGATTTTTGTGTGTTGAGCATTAATAAAGACAACGTTAGCATCTTTAATTGTGAATAAAACTGGATAATTTTGCGCTTTTGTTAGCTAATTTCCTCTTTCGGGTTTAAAATAAGTTTTGGGGCGGGATCAAAATCGATGATGTAGTGCTCATTTGCTAGTCAAGTGATTACATGTCGGTTTTCATTATTATTCATAGCTGAGTTTTCTTATCCTATAAGAAGAAGAGAAGAGCCTGCTTCTTAAATATTTATGACAGCACATGCTTTTCGATGACAGATCTGCCAAGCTGTGAGACCGCGGCCGTACACGGCAAGAAGTATTTAGCTGTTCATGAAGGGTCCTATGTGTTTGTTTCCATGATTCACATAGTTTGCTGCATGGTTTTCCCCACAATCCTATCAAGGCTGATACAGCAAAGCTGTTTGTGTGTAGCAAGTATTTTTGTCGGGAGAGCTGTACGAGAATTGGAGAATGGAGGACTTTGTCTTTTATCAGTCGAGTTTGTTACCATTCAGACACATCACTTATCTGTGCCGCCGTGTTCACCAGTGTTTACAATCGATTACCCTGATTACAGACAGGGTTAATGCTTAGAATAGATAGGGCAAGAGACCTGCTACACTGTTATCCACTGTGTCTGCATTCAGACCTGGTGATTCCGGAGGAGAGAAGTCCTCCTCATTCATAGTGTTTATATAAACATGATTATCTTTATGATGATATGACAAATTGTGGTTATGTGTATATATTATGTGAAATTACAAATAACCAGATATCATATATGTATATATAGCATATCATATCAACCAAATCATATATGTAGCAGAGCATTAAATTACTTACTGTTTATTTCTTTGCTTTTTAACTTTGTAAACTATAAAATCATATGTTTCCTCACATTTTGGGTTTGATTTTATTTAGTCTGAGTTACTGAGCCAACTGACAGTTGCCCCCCCCTCTTTTTTCCCCTGCTCTGCCGGTAATGCCCACTCCTCTCTTCGTTCGCAGCGCTCCATTGCCACCATGTAGCATTTTAATTCAGAAAATATTCTGAGATGGACTTAAACTGAAAGACGGGGGTTTCATGACCCTTTAAAAAAATATAGGAAAAAAATCTGACTTCAACTGTATAACAATAAAAACGAGTCTCCGTTTTTCTCCTTTGACAGAACTATCTAAAGCAGTTTGCTTTTGGAAGCTCTGTGCATTCAGATCTCTGGGATCATCTTCAAAAGGTAAGCTGTCAAGATTTATAAGCGCTGTGTGGAGAGCATACAGTAAAATATGCTGAAATTCAGCGTCACGCTCATCTTGACTTTTCAAACAGTCTTTAGATCAAGCTCCTGGAATGAAACTACCGCGTAGTATTCATGAAATTATGAGCCGCTGGATACTACAGATGGGGTTCCCGGTAATCACCATTGACACCCGAACAGGGAACGTCAGCCAAAAGCACTTTCTCGTGGAAAAAGACGCAGTCGTGGAAAGGAAATCTGAATTTAAGTACGTTCTCAGATTGTAATTTAATATTTTTAAATCCTTTGAAAACCCCCTTCTTATGAGTCTAACTGCTGTGTAAACCTCAGTTATGAATGGTTTGTGCCGATCAAATGGATGAAGAAAGGCCAGGTGCAGGATCAGATGTGGCTCCTACAGAAATCAGGTACATTAAATCTTCTAAGGTCACTTGCAATCTATTTCAAGATCTCGCAACGTTTTACATGCCCTCGTCTGAGGATGGTTCTGATTTTTCTGTTTTTTATTAAATTGAGTGTCTTTTAAAACCTTTTGAAAGCAAAAGCACATGTATATTTAGTTTCAAAACACAAAGACAAAGGTTTCATGCTTAGGGTTGTAGATTAAGGAGTTTGCTCAGATAGTTTAGGGATTTTTCACACTAATCAAAATAAAAGCAGCTTTTGCATTTCTCAAGTTTGGGATTCTGGATGTAAATCTTAATATATTTTGACATCTGTCCTTCTAGCTAAAACTACTAGCAATATTTTGCAAATATTATTTGATATAAAATAAACATTTACTATTTCAATAAATTTAAATACATATTTGTATTTAGTCATGCCCAAACATATTCATACCTCTGTATTCAGTATTCATAGTTCTGTGTTAAAGTTACTTTTATTCATCCAGCAATGTTTTTTTTTTTTAACCATAAATGACAAAGGCTTCTCCAAAAAGTTAATAAAACAAAGTAATGATTTGAAATATTAGAGGTAAAGTAATGGGGTAACATTGTGGAAAAAAATTCTCAGCTTTTATTTACACTAAACAAAAACTTTAAGGCCTAATTTGTCAGGTCTGTGTGTGTGTGTGTGTGTATAAAATGTACATTCATGAACTGTATATACCATCATATATATATATATATATATATATATATATATATCAATCATTACTCCAAGCCTTGATACATTTTTCAGGGTTTAATGATTACAAAGTTCAATAGGACTACATTAATACATTAATATAAAAAATAATAACATAAAATGTATATCAAGTCTATTTATAGTAAACATTATAAGTGTCTTTACTGTAACATTTAATCAATTCGATGCATGCTTGATGAATAAAAGTATTAGTTTCTTCCAGAACTCCTCCCAAAAATATGTCTCCAAACTTTGGAAAAGAACTGTCGTATTAATTATATTTTGTTGAATTTGACAGTTCAGAATTGTTCTGTACATTTTGTTTTTCTTTGGTACTTAATACTTTGTCATTACTGCAGCTTTATGTCAAATTAAATGTGTTTTTTTTCTTTCATGGAGATCCTATATGAAATATGTTTTTTTGTTTTCTGCTCTAAGCTATACACAAGCCCATGAAAGTCAGCAAAGGTGAATGGGTGCTGGCCAACCATAAGGTGTCGGGATACTTCAGAGTGAACTATGACCATGGAAACTGGGAGCGACTTCTCAGCCAACTGGAGACAAATCATCAGGTCCTACATGCAAAAAAAAAATAAAATAAAAAAATGAGAGAACAATCTGTAAAGAGATTAAAAAAAAAAAACATGCAGTTTTTTTTTCTTTTATTTACAGACAATACCTGTGGTGAACAGAGCTCAGATTCTGGATGACGCATTTAATCTAGCAAGGTGAGAGTTTTTTAAGATTCATGTAAACTCATTTCATGTACATAACTCTTTTTACAATTTTTTAAAAAGATTGTTGTAAGCATAAAAAATAATGGAATACTTTTATTTAATGAACATGCATTAAATGAATCAAAAGTGACAGTACAGATATTTTAATGTCCCTCAAGGCATAGTTGAACAGTTTTTTTTTTTTCTGAGCAATCATGAGTTATGATTTTAATGGAATTTAAATATATTTTAATTCAATGGAGTTATTACTATCATTCATTCAATCATTTTCCTTCGGCTTAGTCACTTATTTATCAGGAGTCGTCACAGCGTAATGAACCGCCAACTATTGCAGCATATGTTTTACACAGCTGATGCCCTTTCAGCCGCAACCCAGTACAGAAACACGGAGAGAACATACAAACTCCACACAGAAATGCCAACTGGCCCAGCCGGGACTTAAACCAGCGACCTTTTTCTGTGAAGCGAAAGTGCTAACCACTGAGCCACCGTGCCGCCGTTTTTACCTTCAATTTTTATCAAATTCACTGATATATATATATATATATATATATATATATATATATATATATATATACACACACACACACACACACATGTAAGATTTTTCATCAATACTAAAAACAATATTTAACTTGTAAGTGTGTGTGTGTGTGTGTGTGTGTAGTGCAGTACATGCAATAAGAGCATGGTAAAAATAAGTATAAAAGAGATTTAAACAAAAACAAAAAACATCTTACCGACTCCAGAGTTTTAAACTGTATTTCCACTGTCTTTTTTGGACTAGAAAAATAAATCAAATCGAATCAAATGCAATAAAAACACTTAATATACTTCACGTACATTTTTATAGATATTCTATTTATCCACTGTTTAAATCGGTTTCATTATACATTTCTTTGTTTTGTACAACAAATACAGTCAAGCCCGGAATTATTCATACCCCAAATTCTGACTTAAAGATTTTGTTTAATGTAAATAAGCTCAATCCCCCACAATGATGCCTTTTGTACATCATCTTTATTCATTTATTCATTTACCTTCAGCTCATTCCCTAATTATCTGGGATGACTACAGCGGAATGAACCGCCAACTTATTCAGTATATGTTTTACAAAGCAGATGCCCTTCCAGCTGCAACCCAGTACTGAAAAACACCCATACACTTTCACATTCACACATGTGTATCTAATTCACCTCTACCACATGTCTTTGGACAGTGGGGGAAACCGGAGCACCCGGAGGAAACTCATACCAACACGAGGAAAAACATGTAAACTCCTCACAGAAATGCCAACTGACCCAATGACCTTCTTGCTGTGAGGTGACAGTGTTAACCACAGAGCCACCGTGCTGCATTGTACATCATCTTATCTATATTTCATTGTTTTAATTGTGACTGAACAATTATTTTGAATAGTTTCTTTGCTATATCAGTGTGTAACGAGGAGACTGACACGGAGGGATCCATTATGCAGTATTTATTAATCACAACTTCACTCAAACAATATGCACCTGGGTGCACACACACATCCACAGTAGTAGTAATGGTTTCAAGAATGACGGTGAACAGACACAGAGTGAGTTACCAGGCATGAGTAGAGAGCAGTGGGCGTGAATCAGAGTCCGTGTATCAGGCTTGGGTCAAAGGCAGGCAGCGAGAATCAGAGTCCGTGTATCAGGCGTGGGTCGTGGGCAGGCAGAAGGCAAAGCAAAGTAAGAGACAGGCTGGAGTCGTACACAAGAGATCAGGCTGGATATAACGCTCAGTAATGCTGGCCGGGGCTGAACAAGACTTCGCACTGACTTAATGTTTGAGTGCGGCTTATATGAGGTACGTGGGTCGTTAACAAGATTCAGATCAGGTGTATGCGCAATCAGTGTAGATGGATGATGTAATGCTAAAAGTCCGGAGATGGCGGCCTCTGCTGGCCAGCGAGGGGAATGACCGGGACCGAGTCGGTGACACAGTGAAACATTTCACAAATGCTCCCATTATCTATGGACTCATTATCAATTTGTTCTTAATCAAAATTATGTTTAAAAGTCATGGAAATTCATTGGTCAAAAAAACGTATTGCATGTTTTCTTAGTAAAACTGTGATGTTATTTTTTTGTTTATGTTCATTCTTCCAGAGCATCCATTATAAACATCACCCTTGCTTTGAGAACAACTAAATATCTGGTTCGTGAGCGGGAATATATTCCATGGGAAGCGGCACTTCGAAGTCTGAACTATTTTTTCCAGTTGTTCGATCGCAATGAAGTTTACGGTGCTTTGCAGGTTGGTTAAAAAAAAAAAATCCTTTTTACTGTACAAATCCAACCAGAAGTAAAGCATTTATACATTTAACATACTGTTGTACGTATTTTATCAGGCTTATCTCAAAAAACAAGTCAAGCCTCTATTTGAACATTTTGGGACTATCAGCTCAAACTGGACAAAGGTTCCAAACGGCCACACTGACCAGTAGGGACAAATCTTTTATATACAGCTGAAGTCATGATTATTCCTCCTGTGATTTTTTTTCCCTTTTTCAATTATTTTCCAAATGATGTTTAACAGAGACAGACATTTTTCACAGTATTTCCTGTAATATTTTTTCTTCTGGAATTTATTTTATTTTAGCTAGAATAAAAACTGTTTTTAATAAAAAAAAAAAATAAAAAAAAAAACATTTTAAGATAAAAATGATTAGCTCCCTTAAATTTTCTTTCTCTCGATTGTCTATGGAAAAAACTATCGTTATATGATAACTTGCTTAATTACCCTAACCTGTCAATTTAACATAATTAACCCTTTAAAATTTACTTTAAGCTGAAGACTAGTATCTTAAAAAACATTTAGTAAAATATTATTTACAGTCATCATGGCAAAGAATAAATAAATCAGTTATTAGAAATGAGTTATTAAAACTATTATGTTTATAAATGTGTTGAAAAAATATTCTGTCCGTTAAATTGGGGGAATGCTATAGAAGGGGGCTAATAATCCTGACTTCAACTGTATGTCATATTTTTCACATTTTATTGAATTGATATTTAATACAGTTTTGGTTAATAATAAGGTATTTTCTCTCCTCAGGTTTACACAGATCATTGCGCTGTCTCTAGCCTGCGGAACAGGTGTAGAGGGATGCAGAGAAATAACCAAGAGCTGGTTTAAGAAATGGATGCAAAATCCTCGTGTCAACCCGTGAGTGCAAAACCTCAGAGGAAATTATGCAATTTTCTTTGTGGCCGGATTGTCATTATTTAGCAAGATGTTAGATGTTGGCAAATAAACCCCACAAGTTCCGTTTAAATGCCAGCTCTTCCCAATTTGGGTTAGGATGTCATATTTAGATGTTGACAAATAACCCCACAAGTTCCGTTTAAATGCCAGCTCTTCCCAATTTTGCTTAGTATGTCATATTTCCCATTTGTGTTTGATCATCATCATTGAGATATCTATTTCAAAACATTCGCACACACGCACACACACACACACACACACACACACACACACACACACACACACACACACACACACACACACACACACACATATATACGAATTACAGGAGTTGCCCCATTGAGCTCAGAAATTATGGAAATCCATTTATACTGAAGAAACACATCCCTGTTATATGTTATCTCTTTAACAATATCTTTTTTTAAAGAACTAAGATGTTAATAAAAGTCAATCTGTTAAAACTGCAGGGTTGAATTTTCATTATCAAAAGTGGACAGAGCAGAGTTAGCCTAAAACTCCCATAATGCAATTCACAACCGTAAATAAACCAAAAAACACCAGTCAATCACAAAATAGGGAACTTGCTAATTAACAGATATATATTTTACAGAGCAGACTGTAGTGTTTTTCCCTCATTTCCACCAGGATTCACCCTAACCTGAGGTCGACGGTGTACTGCAACGCCATCGCTGCGGGTGGTGCAGACGAGTGGAACTTTGGCTGGCAGATGTTCCAGAAGGCCACGGTCGCAGCTGAAGCTGTCAAACTGAGAGCGGCTCTGGCCTGCACTAAAGTGCCCTGGTTACTCAACAGGTGATTCACTGCGGGAGAACAAACACAAAACACACTAGTAATAAGATCTGAAATATAGAAAGAAAAAAAAAACATAGCTTACACTTTACAACATGTTTTCATAATGCAAGGCAAGTTTATTTACAGTAAGCTTTAGATGCCCAAGTGCTTTAGACATCAGTGCTTTAGATATCCAAGAATAAAAGAAACATGAAATACATTGATTATCAACAAAGATAACACTTTAGAATAACTATCCATTTTAACTAGTTAAAAGATTATTAATAAACTGTTAGTTAATGAGTTATAGATGACTCGTTAGATAAAAGTTAATAGTTTGTTAATTATTTATAACTCTGCCTTATAGATAGCCAACAGATAACTTACAAGCTGTTAGTTAACAAGTTATAAATGACTTGTAAACTGTATTTTAAGGATTTATAACTATACCTAATATACTAGTAATTGATCATGAACAAGCTGTTAGTAAATTACTAAAGACTTAAGTATCAGTTATTAGTTTATATACCATATTGAGAAGTTATTCTAAAGTCGCAATTATTCTTCATTTATTAACTTAGTAAATGAGGAATAGTTGCAACTTTAGAATAACGACCCAATAACATACTTAAGCTAAAACTAACACATAACTAATATATGAACTTACACTTAACAAATCAGTTGTTCATAGTTTGTTAACCATCTACTTATACCAGTGAAACTTTTTGGAACAGCAAATGGATGGATCAAGTTCAAGCTACAGAAATTTGATGTGATATTTACAATATAACATTTTTGTACCTTAACCTTGTTCCACTCATAGGCTTTTCTGTGTACTATATTTTACCACAGAAAATCCACAGATGAAATGCTAAACGTTGTGTTTAATGTATAGAAACACCCATACTGAGCCATCACATGGCAGAACAGCAGTATACAACAGAATACAAACCCATGAGGTTTGAGCACTTTTTGTGCTAAACATGAAAACAAAATAAATAAAAAAGAACTTTACTTTTATTAGAAAAGTTTAAAAAAAGTTTCACTGGTGTTAGTAGATGGTTAACAAACTATAAACAACGGATCTTTAAAGTGTGAGTTAATATATTAGTTAAGTAACAGTTTACTAACAGTTAATAAATGAAGAATATTTGCAACTTTAGAATAACGTCCCAATAACGTATATAAACTATTAACTAATACTTAACAAGTCTTTAGCAAGTTATTTACCAACAGCTTGTTCATGATCTACCACTAATTTATTAGGTATAGTTATAAATCATTAAAATACAGTTAACAAGTCATTTATAACTTGTTAACTAACAGCTTGAGAGTTATCTTTTGGTTATCTATAAGGCAGAGTTTTAAATAATTAACAAACTATTAACTTTTATTTAACAAGTCATTTATAACTCATTAACTAACAATTTGTTAATGATCTATTAAGTAGGTATAACGGATGGTTATTTAAAAGTTACCAGAACGAATTTAAAAGGCATATACGGTGAAAAATCCACTTTTCAAGCTGTTTGGACAGATGTGTTTAGGTACAGTGGATAGACTAGAGGTCTGCATAATTTGCGAGTGAATTAAATTTGAAATAAATTTCAGAATAAAGCGCGGGAGCGGTCGGTAACAGGTTAAATTTGGGACGGGAGCAGGCAGTCTAGCAATATCGCTCCCGACTCCAAAGCGAGTGAGCACGCGTATGTACCGTTATGTGTGCGACTGAAACAGCAAGATGCTGTGTTTAGCTTGTTTGTTCGTTGCTGTGTGTGTGTGTGTGTATGTGTGTGTGGGCGTGCACGCGAATGAGAGGTGTGTGTGTGTGTGTGTATGTGCGCTCAAATGAGAGAGGGAGCTTTGTCTGTGTGTGTGTATGCTTGGTGCTTGTGTGTGTTTATACAGACAGCTTGTTATAGGCTGTCTGGACTCTGTATAGCTGGGTGGATTTCGATTTTGTTCTCCCCCTGCTCTTAAGCGGGATCGAGCGCGGTGGGTAAAAAACGAGGCGGGTCGGGCAGCAGGACAACAAATGCTGAATAGAAGCGGGAGCGGGATTCAAAATTCAGTCCCGCGCAGATCTCTAGTATAGACCGTCATATTGGGGTGATATAAACACACCCAGTCCTTTTTTTCCAATTTAACAAAAAATAAATAAATAAATAAAACGGTGGACCAATTGGCTCGGTTTTGTGAACGACCGCAACTTGATGTAGGAGTGCGTTCCCAACACCCACCAATATTAATTGCCAGGCATGCATTACCATATCCTCAGTTTGTTGTTTCATATCCGACATTTTCAGCGTGTGAGTCAAAGCGATGTCGCCAAAGAAACAACCTTGCTCTATATTTCGATGTAAGGCTCATTGGGCATTGAAGTTTTACATTTAGAAGCCATTTGTGCTGAACACTTCATTGCGTCTTCCTTAAACTTAACAGCCAATTGCATTTCCCACAGTCACAGAAGCTCCGTCATCTCAACTAGGTGTACAGTAGTTGGAAAGTATGAGAGTATTGCCTCGAGTGCGCATCCCTCAATTAGAATTTTAATGAACTTGCCTTATTTATAGCCTCAGTGAAAGTTAATCAGTGTGCGTGGTTATTAGTTTCAGTGTACAATCTGAGAACTTTAAACTAGCAAACAGTTGGCATAACTTTGTTTAGTTGCCGCAGTTTTGTTTTGTGCAGAAACACGGTGTTGAGAAGCCTTTACGAGTATTAACCCTGACTAATTAAAGCGCGGATAATAGTGAAAACGGTTAATCGTTGCAATCCTATTCGGATGAGTCATGCATCGTTACATTGCGGCTGTAAAACTATACAAAGACACAAATGTTTTTGTAACTACCACTTTCACACATTCTGGCAAATTAGAAATATTGATTACTCAACAGTACTCTCTGCTTGGTCTGTGTCCGAGTTGTACATGTACGGCAGAATGCTGGTCCTCTCACTCATCTTGCTTCTCTCTGTCTGCCTGTCTGTTGCCATACACAAAGCGGGGGAGCTCTTGGCTCCGCCCCCTTGTTAAGTTGGGCAGGAAGTCGAAACTAATTTTAATGTGAAGCAACACATCTCTAAAACAACGACCTGTGTACACACCCCCAAAATGACACTCTTTAACACATTATAATAAAAAACAATCTGAACTGTGTTTTAAACAATTGTTAACACTCTAGAAACATAACATTTTATTGTTTTAATTAGGTATCTGGAATACAGTATAAACCCAGAAAAGATACGCAAGCAGGATGCCACTTCAACCATTGGGTACATTGCCAGTAATGTTATTGGCCAACCTCTGGCATGGGATTTTGTCCGGGCAAACTGGGACTATTTCTTCAAAGTGTAAGAATGCCAAACACCCCAACACACACACAGAGAAAGAATGAAGCAAAATATGCTACAGTAAAAAAAAAAAAAATGTGTTTTCCATTCTGGTTTTTACAGATATGGCACAGGATCATTCACTTTCTCCAGATTAATTAGTGACATCACCAGCAAATTCTGCACACCGTTTGAACTCAGTCAGGTATGTTACCATCGAACTTTGAACCACAAAGCAAAAATCTATTGCTCTATTATACACCCAGCGCATTAAGGTGCAAGATGTGTATGGTGTGATTTGTTGCTATTTTCAGACTGTAATTTTGTAATTTTCACATTTTGCGCCACGTTGTTTAAATAGCAAATCCATTTGCGCCACTTTGTGGACTCATGGGTGAAAAGGAGGTGTGTTAAGGCGCATTGTTGGCACGTTGCAATGTTGAGGAAGTGAAATAGATTGACCAACTAAAAGCTGCTCTCAAATCCAGCACAGAGTGCATTAGTTATGCTTAACGTTAACACATTGCTTTATACTCAGGATGTGTATAATAATATACACATGTAAATGTGTAAATTATAATTTTGCATTATTTATTACTATTTAACCTCTAAATAAAACACAAAATACTTCATATCTATTACAATCGTTAAATCCTTAATTTACTAGATGATAAATTTAATACAACATCTATCTTAAGCTGCTTTAACACAATCCTCATTGTAAAAGGGCTATAGAAATAATGATGAATTGAACTGAAATTCTTACTGTCTTGTTTCAGCTGAAACGTTTCCAGAAGGACAATGCTGAGACCGGATTTGGTTCGGGGACTCAGGCGCTCCAGCAGGCCATCGAGAGAACAACAGCCAAGATTAAATGGCTGGCAGAGAACAAGGAACCAGTGCTGCAGTGGTTCATCTCAGAATCGGCATAAGCTACACATCAGTTTGCCTTGAGACCTTGGTAAGTTTTTTCTGTGAAGCACAAACAATTCAGATTAATTAAACTGAATGTGAATAATCACTGTCAAACTCTAAAAATGTTTAATAAAGTTCCTCTATGGGGTTTTTGTTGGATTTTTTGGACTGTGCTAAAGCTTAAGATGACCAGTAAGAGTAAAAACACTGAAAAACATGTGCAGACAGTAAAAATGTGCATTCCATGTGGGGATGTCTGTTTTTTATTTGGTGTGTGGTCTTGCCCACAGCAAATTTATCCATGGCTATTGCAACAACCTGGGATGACAGTTGGGAAAAATGCAGAGGAATAATGCAGCCTTGGAAAATGACCAAGTTTGGGTTGTTTTGAAACCCATGGGTGGGTCAAATATGGACAAATCAAACCAAAAATGTTGTTATTTTAACATTACATGCCTGGTTGTTTAAAGGGGACCTATTATGCAAAAATCACTTTTATAAGGAGTTTAAACATAGTTGTGTGGCAGCAGTCTGTGAATATAACCAGCTTCAAATGGTAAAAGTTTAAGTAAATGTTTTTATCACACTTGATAAAAGCAGTCTGCAGAAACACTTTGATTGACAATCTTCATTTACATGTCACCAGAGGTAGAAAGTCCCGCCCATTGATGACCATCTCTCCCTCATTGGCATAGCACGTTAGTCTTGTTTTTGAATTTGCCACTATGCTAACACATTTGTGGCTCCGCCCCTTTGAAAAGAGAGCACAATTAGAATCAAAGCCTAAAAGAGGCAGTTTAAAAGAGTTATAAAACATTATTTGTAGGGTATTTTTAGCTGAAAGTTCACATCACACTATAAGAACATCAGGAACTTATTTTACATCTTAATAATAGGTATGTATGTATATATACATATATTTATATATATATATATATATAAATCCAGCATTTTGAAGATCAAAAAGATTAAACATATACAGACTTTAATCTTACAGATTTCAGTGACACTAAGAAATGATCCCAAATAGAAATATGATTTATGGCAATTAATGCACATTACGTATATGACATTTAATAATATATATTATATTGGATCATTTACAGTGGAAGGCAGAATTATTAGCCCCCCTGAATTACTAACCATGTTTAACCAATTATTAACCATGTTTATATTTCCCCAATTTCTGCTTAACGGAGAGAATAATTTTTCAACACATTTCTAAACATAATAGCTTTAATAACTTATTTCTAATAACTGATTTATTTTATCTTTGCCATCATGACAGTAAATAATATTAGATTAGATATTTTTTAGACTCTTCTATACAGCTTAAAGTGACATTTAAAGACTTAACTAGGTTAATTAGGGTACCTAGGCAGGTTAGGGTAATTAGGCAAGACTACTGAAAAAAAAATCAGCCTAAAGGGGCTAATAATTTTGTCCCATAAAATGTTTTTTAAAAAATTAAAAAACTGCTTTTATTGTAGCCAAAATAAAACAAGTAAAACTTTCTTCAGAAGAAAAAAATTTATCAGACATACTGTGAAAATTTCTTTGCTCTGTTAAACATAATTTGGGAAATATAAAAAAAAAAAAATAAATTAAAGGGGGGCTAATAATTCTGACTTCAACTGTATGTACATTTTTGTACTTCCAATGGTTGAAAAAATATCAAATGGCCATTTGTTTTGCAATATTTTGATATATGTTTGTGCAATCCAAATATGAACTTGTATGTCATGAATGTAATTTGCATTCTGAATAGGAATAGGTAAAACACCTTTGCTCTAATGTGCAACCAACCAGAAACTAATTTAAAGAGCATTATGACCGGAAATAATACAAACAACAGATACATTAATGTCATCAATTTGAAAACCTGCATTTTTTATTTAAACTGCAGTAATAAGTACAGCCACTAGCTGTCAATATTATATACTGCAGTGTTTCTCAACCACGTTCCTGGAGGACCACCAACACTTCATGTTTTGGATGACTCCTTTGTCTGTTACACCTATTACAGTTCTTTCAGTCTCTGCTAATGAGCTGATAATCTGAATCAGGTTAGTTTGGATAAGGAGACATGGAAAATGTGCAGAGCTGGTGGCCCTCCAGGAACGTGGTTGACAAACACTGATATACTTCACCTTTAAATGCACAAACACGAATGCAGTAATGAGCAATGTCAGCATACTCCCTCCCTAACCCTAAAAATGCCCCTCACAGTCAAGTAAACACAGTAATTATTGTTTTAATTATTTGTAATATTTTAAATAATTCACGTTAACCTCCGGTCACAGCTGTATCTCTTCTAGATTGTACCTAATGTTAGCTAAAAAAAAAAAATCAAGTGGCTGATCACTGCTGAGCCTGTGGGCGGAGCTATACAGCCCAACCACACCCTAAACCTGACCCTAAAGTCTCCCAGTAAGCATAAACCCTCCTATCAGGTACAAAGAGGTGGAGCCAGATTGGGCTAAGCACTACCCATTGTATTAATAAATGAAAAATAAATGAAGCTTTAGAAGTGACAATATATACAGTACACACCAAAACAAGTGTATGACAGAATTTTCAATTGTGGGTGAAGTAATTCTGTTAATCTTTGTGTGTGTGTGTGTGTTTGTGTGTGTTGTAGGAAAGTCTTCAACCACACATCAGTTCATCATCCTGTAACCTAACTGAATAGAAATGAATGGACGCTAACAGCATTTTAAAAATAATCCAAGGAGCATTCCTATCACAAGGACAGCCCTCCTGGAGTAACCCGAGAAATGTTTTGCTCAAGGACACAGCGAAACACTCCCGTTTGTGGTTTGGAGACCAAATATTTAACAACTAGAACACATCACTCTGAAGCAAATGAGGATGCATGTGCATTAGAGACTACATGAAATATGACGACGGATCCCTTGGTACTGAAGAAGCAGGGAACCGGTTTTTGTATAATTAGTAGTGTTGCCAAGTCAAACATCACTACTATTATTATAAATTTTGCCTATACTTAGTGTAACAAATTTATACTAAATAAACTAAACAAAAAAAGGGCTATATGTACAGAGAAAAAAACTTACATAAAATTTCACATTAAAAAATCAGTCTGTAGGCTTTCATAAACAAGCTTGGAGGTTGAGGAAGGTCTTATTTTTGAGGTTACTTTACAACGTGTTCACACATTGGCATAAAATAGCGATTAAAGTGGTCATCAACTGAGAAATCACCTTGATCTTTTGACATATTCATTCATTGTAACTTACGGGAGAGTTACGGTGTGGAGAAGCCCCAAAGAATGCTACCCAGACTCTTGCATGCCCAGAGTGAACTTCAAGGCATTCTCATTACATCGAACTTGAGTGCATTAGTTCATCATCATGATTCAAGCTATGTTTATGTCCCAGAAAATAATGAAGACTTTGGGTGGCTTCTTTTGGTTTGAGTCAGTAGCATCCCAGAAACCACCCAACCTGGCAACCAGCATTCATATTTCTCAGTATATTGTAAAGCTCTGTTTATCTTGTAGTGGATAAACTACTGTTATTCTTTTTATAACATGACACAATTAAATGTGTTAAATAGTTAAAGCTTAGGGGTCAGTAAGAATTTTTTTAAAAAACAAAACAAAAAAAGTTTGATAAGTTTCTATTCTATTAACCCAAATAACAGATTGGAGTGTTTCAAAAAAAAAAAAAAAAAAAAAATTAAATTTGACAGCAGTAATGAATGTTTGAGCACCAAATCAGCTTATTAGAATGATTTCCAAAGGATCATGTGATATTGAAAGATTAAGCAATGATTCTCAAAACTTAGCTTTGCCATCACAGGAATAAATTACACTTAAATGTATATAGCTAAATACGCTGTATTTTTAATAGCATAAATGCAGCATTTTTGACCATAAGAGTCTTATGGAAAAAAGTCTTACTGACCTCACACTTCTGGAAGTAATCAGTAGACATTCCAACAGGCATGCAACGTCATAGGACCTTAATATTAAGTTAGATTTAGGTCATGATGTCAGGTGATCCAAGTTCAACGTCCAGTCAGCGTCTAGGGATAACGTTATTTTCACATCCAATAACAAAGTCAAATTACATTGATATTTGGTTGATTTTAGATTGTGTTGGAAAGTGACCAAAATCCTATGTTGAGCCAACATCTTAAACCATAGTCATACTGATGTCAAAATACTGACATTTATTTATCAGCTATGGCAACTAAAATCCAACGTCTCATAGACATCACAGTGGTAACATCCACACAACGTCAAGCTATAACATTCTTAGACGTTGATATTTTGTTTGATTTTAGGTTAATTTAAGGTTGTGGTGACCAAAATCCAACATCAAGCCAACATCTTAAACCCACATTTTTGATTGGTCAAGGTTGTGATGTCAGGTGACCAAAATTTAATGTCCAGCCAGCGTCTAAGGACTTTTTTTTTTTTTTTTACATCCAATAACGAAGTCAAATTACGTCGATATTTTGTTGATTTTAAGTTGTGTTGGAAAGTGACCAAAATCCTATATTGAGCCAACATCTTAAACCAACGTCATACTGATGTCAAAATACTGACTATTTGACTATGACAAAATCCAATGTCTAATAGACATCATAGTGGTAAAGTCCACACAATGTCAAGCTGTACGATCTTTAGACGTTGATATTTGGTTGATTTCAGGTTGTGGTGGAAAGTGACCAAAATCCAACATCGAGCCAACATTTTAAACCAACATTTTGATCGGTCAAGGTTGTGATGTCAGGTGACCTAAAATTAAATGCCCAGCTAGAGTCTAAGGACAACGCTAATTTGATATCCAAAATCAAATGACGTTAATATTTGGTCGATTTTAGGTTGTGTTGGAAAGTGACCAAAATCCAATGTTAAGCCAACATATTAAATCAACGTCATATTGACGTCAAATACTGACATTTATTTAACAGGTAAGACTACCAAAATCCAACATCTTATAGACATCATAGTGGTAACATCCACACAACGTCAAGCTATAACATCCTTAGACGTTGATATTTGGTTGATTTTAGGTTAATTTAAGGTTGTGGTGACCAAAATCCAATATCGAGCCAACATCTTAAACCCACATTTTAATCGGTCAAGGTTGTGATGTCAGGTGACCTAAAATTAAATGCCCAGCTAGAGTCTAAGGACAACGCTAATTTGATATCCAAAATTAAATGACGTTAATATTTGGTTGATTTTAGGTTGTGTTGGAAAGTGACCAAAATCCAACAGAGCCAGCATCTTAAACCAACATTTTTAAATGGTCAAGGTTGTGACGTCAGGTGAACAAATTTCAATGTCCAGCCAGCGTCTAAGAACAACGTTGTTTTGATACCCAATAACGAAGTGAAATGATGTTGATATTTGGTTGACTTTAAGTTGGACATTGATGTCGGCTTGACGTTGGGTTTTGATGTCAACCCAATTCTCATTTTCAAACAAAATGAAATGTACCCACAATGTTGGGGTACAACGTCAATATTGACATCCCGTGCCTGCTGGGATTGTACAAATAGATCTTCTAGGGCATTTTTTTTTACATCTTATACATCTGTCTCCTAGGTTTTTCAGTTGAATAAATAAAGTTGTGAAAACTTCTTGAAATCATTCTTTTGAGCTCTGCCCGAATGTCTCAGGTTGGTAAGTTTATGTATGTGAACGGTAGACACAAACGCAACACTGCAATGCATGTGTAACAGGTATCTTTACATGTTAAAACCATTTTTTGTCCTAACCATCTGTGTGACAAGCAAAATTTCTATTTTATACAGTATAATGTTATACTGTATGTAGTCAGGGGGTGAACAGGTGTTGGGATAAGAAGTCAGGTGAATGTGCTCAGGAGCAATGGCAGATATAAGCATGGGCAATATGGGTGATCATCCAGGGCGGCATATTGCTGGGGGCAGCATGGGAAGATGGTCCAAAACAAAGTGCCCTAGTAAAAGCTTTGAGATAAGATTTACTTTATGCAAGTGTATTAATTTAAAGTGGCAATCCCAGAATAAAGGCGTTAGGGGCCATTCACATTTGGCGTCTTTTGCACGCCCAAGTTTGTTATTCCCTCAAATTAATTAGTTTGTTTGTTAACCCCATGTCACTGATCCAGCTTGCAGTGTAAACACATCCCAGATAGTCATGCAGCGTTAAAACATCTGCGACATGACTACTTTGAAAACCGTGCAGTCTGAATTCAGCATTACTGTGTAGTGGACTAAACAAACCACCTGTACAAAACAAACTCTTTCATCTTCGACACTTTAACCGACACTTGCACCTTGCACTTCCTTTCTCTAGCATGTAATTATCTGAGAACTAACAATCCCTTTGTATAATTAGCACTTGTGTGTATTGCCTCTTAGTTGAATAGCTGAATGCCTCCTCAATTGTGTAAGTCGCTTTAGACAGACGTGTCTGCCAAATGACTAAATGTAAATGCACTCTAAAAAATATACATAAATTAGGAGTTTTTTTTTAATATTTTGTGATTAATGTTTATATTTTTTATAAGTTATTCTTTTAAGTTGCATTTTGAGACCTTGATCTTTCTTCCAACAAGTTTTAACCATGAAAAGTTGGAAAAGTGACTTTTATTGTCATTTTTAATAGTTTAAAGTGATATATTTGGTGTTGGTGTTGCATAACGCGATACAATATTGTAGTAAGCTGCCAGGCCATTTTCTGTTTTTTTACAGACTTGTTTCTCTATATAGTATTTCATATACAGTACATTATTACTAAAATGTCAATAAAAGCCACTTTGTTAAACTGAAAAGTTGAATTTTTAACATCAAAAGTCATAGATTAACATTCATAATGCAATTCACAACCATAAATAAACAGAAAACACTTGTGAATCATAAATAAACAGCTAATTAACACATTTTTTTACAGTGTAATCTTACTATCGTAGTATTTTCCCATCAATTCTAAAAGTTATCAGTAGACATTGCACAAAAGTATTTTTAACTGCATTTTTTTAAACAAAATTTGCATCTCTCATTGCATCTTTTTCTGTTCAGAAACTGTTCAGATAGATATTACGCTGCATTTATTTACAATTTTGCATCTCTCTTAGTTCACCCCAATAAATTCTAAAAGTTATCCGTACAAATCAATATTTCACTGCAATTTATTACAACATTTGCATCCCTCACTCTTATTTTTCCCATAACGTCTTGAAATCAATAGAAACTGTAGATATATATTACACATCATTTATTTATAATTTTGCATCTTTCTTAATTCTCCATCATAAATTCTGAAAGTTATCAGTAGATTTTTTTTACAGATCAATATTTCACCTCATTATTTTTACAATATTTGCATCTCTTTCTCTCTTAGCTTTTTCCCATAACTTCTTACAATCAACTGTACATGTACAGTTGAAGTCAGAATTTTTAGCCCGCCATTGATTTTTTTTTCCAATTCAATTCAATTCAGCTTTATTTGTATAGCGCTTTTACAATGTAGATTGTGTCAAAGCAGCTTCACATAAATGTTCATAGTAACTGGATCAGGGTAGTTCAGTTTTTAGTGTTTAAGTTCAGTTCAGTTTAGCTCAGTTCAGTGTGGTTTAAAATCATTACTGACAGTCACTAAAGAGAGTCACTGAAAACACTGAAGAGCAAATTCATCGATGCGTAGCTCTACCGATCCTGAACCATGCAAGCCAGTGGCGACAGCGGAGAGGGAAAAAAAAACTTGAGAAAAACCAGAATCAGTTCGGCACAACCATTTTAATTTCTTCCCTTTTTAAAATATTTCCCAAATTATGTTTAACAGAGCAAGAAAATTTTCACAGTATGTGTGATAATATTTTTTCTTCGGGAAAAAGTCTTTTGTTTTATTTCTACAAAAATAAATGTTTAATTTTTAAAAAAAAATTTGCATCCCTCACTCTCTTCGTTTTTACCCATAACTTGTTGAAATCAATAGAAACCCTACAGATATTTTACAGCATTTATTTACAACTGTGCATCTCTATCTTAGTTCTCCCCCATAATTTCTAAAAATTAGTAGAAATTTTCCAAATCAGTATTTCACTGTATGTTTTTACAACATTTGAATCTATCTTTCTCTCTCTTGGTTTTTCCCCATAACTTCTTGAAATATTTTTTTAACTGTATGACTGTGCGTGTGTGCATCTTCCTCTTTACCAATATGACACATTACACAAATAACCTCAAAAAATAAAGAAAAAAAGAATGAAGAAAGAAAGAAATATGTTAAAGGCTACATCATTGCTTGATTAAATCATCATCTGGACCCTTTTCCACGCCATCTATCATAAAAACCAAACACAATAAAAGCAATTTTGAAATATGAACTTGGATCTGTCACAATTAAAACCATTTCAACAGTAATGTTGAATAACTGCCGAACCCTCAAATGATCACTTATAAAAAACCCTGCGAGACACATGCAAGAAAAAAAGTCAAAGACATGTTTGCGATTGTTGTTTTCTTAACACAAACTATGCAAACATGTCAAACTTGAGCAACTTTTTTTTCCGTCTACAGAAGTGGCAGAGCAACCACAGCATGATTCATCACAGTCAGCACTATTTAATAACACACACACACACACACACACACGCACACTTCACGACAGTCCAGATAGACTCGATCCTGTCATTAACTCCTATATCTTTCCTCACAACATCTCCAGAGACTTCATTCTGACTC